TAGGAGGAGAGGGAAGGGGGGAGGGGGAAAGGGAGAGGGGAAGGAGGAGGAAGAGTTGTGAAAATATAGAGGTTTTGCCTGCCTGGATTCCACTGTGCCATACCTTTCACTTATTTTGTCTGGAAAGTCTCATACGATCCTCAGCCCCGAAGTCTTCCTGGGGGAATCCACGCACACACCAACCCCCTTTGCAGAATGCAGGCTGGCTCGGGCCATTAGCACCTAGTTTGTGTTGGGGCAATGAGGGACATCCACAAGTCTTCTGTGGAGCTAGGTTTTCTTTCCTACGCAGTGTGCCAGTGGTAGGTCAACGCTGCAGAAGTCATCCCTATCACAGCTGGACAGGGCTGGCCTGAGCAAAGCTAGCTTCATGAGGACGGTGCCACATGACAGCCTACCTGCTCCTGGAGTTTTAATTTTTGGAATATAGTATGATTTTCCCTGTTTTATTTGGGCCATTTGTCTCTCTTTTTTTTTTCAGAACCAGGGATTGAACTCAGGACGCTTGCCAGGGAAGCGCTTATTCTACTGAGCCATCTCTCCAGCCTCTATCTCTTCTTTCACTAACTTACAACAGAAATGTCCTGACTTAATGCCTTAATACCAACAAAAGACTACAATAAATTTGAAGGTAGGTCTCAGGATAAGCACCTGCATAATGACCCTTCATCTTATTGTACCCTTTTATAAACTTCACCTCAGTGTACAAAATTCATCAATACAAAAAAAATTAGTGAATATTATGAAAAATGCACAGGATAATCAAATGTGGAAATCACTGCTAAGAATTAGGACTGGGTGGGACGAGGGAAGCCTATAATCCTAACACTAAGGAGGCTGAGACCAGAGGGTCTCTAAAAGTTTGAGGCCAATGAGAGTTACACTGTGAGTTCAAGGCCAGCCGGAACTGCACAGAGATCCTGTCTCAAAAAACAAAAACAAAACTTGGGCCTGAGGAATGGGGCTGAAGGGAAGAAGACTTTTACTGTATGCACATCTAAACAACAGCTTTTAAAAACGAGATTTTCACTTCAGTAAGCAAGAATTATAAATTCAAAACAGAGAGAATGAGGGGTTATAGTTTGGATCTTGACTGTTCCCCCAAAGTTCCTATGCTGAAGGTCTAGTCCCCAGGGCAGTGGTGTTCAGAGGTGAGGCCTTAGGGAGAATCTGAACTCATCAATGGGGGAATCCATTTACGGTATAGATTCTTCACAGGCTGCTGGAAAGTGCTGGGAAGTTTAGGATGTTGTGCTTGCTTGAAGGAAGTAGGGGACTGCAGGAATGCCCTTCAAGAATGTGACTTTGTCCCAGGCTCCTTCTTCCCTTTTTTCTGCTTCCCTACCACCCAGAGGGGAGCAGTCTTGCCCCACCACGTGCCCATCATGTCCACTTCACCACAGGGTTAACTGCAGTGCAGTGGGCCAAGCTGATCGGTGACCAAAACTTCCGAAAAAGTGAGCCGAAATAAATGTTTCCTCTTTCTGTTTGTCAAGTACTCTTTTTTTTTTTGGCCTTTTTGAGACAGGGTCTTATTATGCAGCTCAGGCTGGCCTTAAGCTCACTTTGGGGCCGGGGAGATGGCTCAGTAGAATAAGCGCTTCCCTGGCAAAGCGCAAGGGCCTGAGTTCAATCCCTGGTTCCACAAAAAAAAAAAAAAAAAAAAAAAAAAAAAAAAAAAAAAAAGAAAGAAAAAGAAAGAAGCTCACTTTGTGACCCAGGCTTGTTTCAAACTCACAATGATCCTCCTGCCTCAGCCTCCTGAGTGCTGGGAATACAGGTGTGCGCCACCACACCCAGCTTGTCAAGTGTTATGTTACAGCAACAGAAAGCTAACACATAGGGAAATTTTGGTCACATTACAAACTTTCAGTTACACGAGTAAGTTCTGCAGACCTAATGTGTGTGTGTGTGTGTGTGTGTGTGTGTGTGCAGTACACTTGAAATGTGCTGAGAATACATCTAAAGGTCCTCAACACACACAAAGGAAACTAAGTGAGGGCACAGATGCGGTAATTCGCTTGACTGCGGCAAACATTTCAAGAGGTAGATGGGTATTACACATTACTCTGTATACCTTAAGTGTACACAATACTTATTTGTCAATTATATCTAAATTAAGCTGGAAGAGTTAAAAACAGTATCCTTGAAAACTTACTTCATAGTGTTCATATTCATGAAGGTTAAATGTGTTGAAATTAAAGAAGCCATACTGCATTGCCTAAAATTAAAAAAAAAAATCTTGTAAGAAAAATACAAATAAGAACATAATTTCCTAATAATTAATATCAGGAAATACCCCAGAACAGGAAATACCCCAGAAAAGTGTCACTACATTTAGATTACTTTCCATTCAACTGTTTCAAAGGAAGTGAGGCTGTATTTTTCACATGCTTCTATTATCAGAAGGTTGATCATAATGTTATATAATGAAATCTAATTTTAAAATTTTATTTACCAGTCATTCTGTCCATACAGACGGGGCCTGGGGTTTAGCTCAGGGGCCCAAGTGCCTGCCTGGCAAGCACAGGTACAATAAAAAAGCTTAGGATTCAAATATAATACCGACTCCAGGAGTCTCTAAATGTAAATAATAATGAAGAAAGCAACCATGGTCCACTTTAGCACAATCCAAGCCCACAATACATTCACTTACAAATTCTTCTGAATGGTCTTATTAAACTAAGAGATCAATGTGACATGAAGGTAAAATTCAAATTTCTGAGGGAAAAAAACACACTAATCTTTCCACAAGAAAATAAATTTTCTTTCATATCCTGTCACCTTACTAAGCAAAATGAGTAAACTGTCTGATCTTGAAACAAAGATGAATCGAGAGTGGGCAGCCACTGAGCAGGGTCCTTATGACTCATTGACCGAAGGATCAATGAGTGAGCCTCACCAGACCGAAGGATTCTTGGTCAACGAGGGGCTGCAGGTCCAAAAGGGGGAATGCTTGTAAACCCAAAATTACATTTTAAATTTAAATTTTTCCATTTTCAAAATTTAAATCCCCAAATACGAATGTGAAATGGGAAGGGTAGAATACCAACTAAACAGTCCTCATTTTATGAAATAACATTTAGTCATTTCCCTGTCTCTGTGGGGAACACGTTTCAAGACCGTCCAGGGATACATAACAGCACAGACAGTACACACGGAACACTGCGCATGCCAGGGGCTTTTTAAATACACACAAACTTGTCATAAAGTTTAATTTAAAACCCAAGCGCAGAGAGATTAACAACAGCCAGTACTAAAATAGAACATTTACAGCCATCAACTGTGCTAAAAGTTATTTAAAATTTATGAATTTTATTTTTGGAATTTTCCATGTAGTATTTTCAGATGGCAGTCGATGACAGAAAACAAAGCCAAGGATGGAAGGATTAGACATTTAAGTAATAATTCCATGATCAAATCCACACTAGATTTCCTTTCCTTAAGCTTAGTATCTTTTGTAACATTCGTACCAACAATGTTCCCAACAGAGACGCTCTAACACAGCCAGTGCTTGGGCAGAGATCAGTGGAAGAGTCACAGCCATGCCTACAAGGCCCTGGCAGCCGGCCAAATAGCTCAGCGGATGAAAGTGCCTGCAAGCAGGCACAGGGGCTGGGGTTTGATCCCTGGGCCCACAGTGTCAGCCCCACCCCTGGGGCATGCTGAGCCAGCCATTGAGACTGGGCGTGGTGGCACGTACCAGCTCTTGGGAGGCTGTAAACAGGACAATCACTATTAGTCTGATCTAGTAGTCAGACCCTGAACACCCTGTACACCTTTCTCTAAAAAATACCGAAAAAAGAAGAAAAGAAGGCCCCGGCTTCCATCCCCAGTGCCACAATAAAAACGTTTACAAGGAATCCTGAGTTTCCTCTGAATTTCATAAATGATCCTTACTAAAAATAGTCTTAAAAATTAACATAATCCCACTGATATTCAAAATCCACCACAAATAAAAAATAAAGTTCTAAATGAAATGCAGAAGCTGTTAAGCATTGGATAAAAATACAGCATAGTAAAGCAATCCTGATCTGGCCTAATAGCTAAATGGACTTTGGAGCACGATCCCAGATTTCTAAGAAAAGGTCAGCGAGCAAGAATGTTATCTGGCATACGGATAACACACTCGGGCACCCTCTGAACCCCTGCACTTTGCTTTTATAAGGTGAATGTGCTTGCCTGTGGCAGCACACTTGGGGCCCGCCTGGCAGCGACTGCAGCTGCGCCCAGGAGCTGCCATTTACCCTGCTGGCCCTTCTCCTAGTATCCACCTGGCTGTCCCCTGCCTATGCCAAGGCCTGACAGTGCTGCCCCAGAGCTGGCAGTACCCACACCAGCAGCCAAGGCCCCCCAGTCACATGCAATCTGGGCACAAGCTAACCCCACCGTTCATCACCTAGTACAGGAAGGGACACTCACTAATTAGTCTCTGAATATGTACACTAAGTAGTTTTCTCATCTGAAGGGAATTTCCACCCAAATTTCTCAGAAAGTCCCTATGTTTCATTACCCCATGAGGAAACCTGCATTCCTTTGGCCTCTGAGAAAACAAGTCACATAACACCTGAGCTACTGCTGAAGGGTTCTCTGATCTGTCAGCTAATGACTGACCATTTGGGCTTCTGGTTCTAAATTATACCTAAGAGAGCACGGGGCACCACGGAGACCAGGGCCTCTGATGGGGCGCATCCCCAGGTGGATACGAAGGGGAACCCCACCACCACCACACAGGCGTGTGCACACGAGGTCAGAACTCCCCAAATGGGGGCCACGGAGATGGCTCAGTGGAATAAGCGCTTCCCTGGCAAGCGCAAGGGCCTGAGTTCAATCCCCGGTTCAGCAAAAAAAAAAAAAGAACTCCCCAAAGTTATGTATGGTGAACAGCTTCCTCCTCTGTGGCCCTGGGAGTGGAATCCAGAGTTCCACGCAGGCTGTGCAGGCGCTCTACTGCTGAAGTGCACCCCCAGCCCTGAACAGTTTGACAAAGCAATAGTGATCCACTTAGCGCTCTATAACTGGCTCTTATAATTTTGTGGAACTAGAACTTGAAAGCTTGGGCAAATTAAATCTGTACTTCACAGTTACTATGTTACAGGGATTATCTCTCATAAACAGTATTGGTAGGAATCAGACTCATAAAATACATAAAACTGGGCCAGTGAGATAGCTCAGTGGACTAAGTACCTGCTTAGGCCAGCCCAGGGACCAAGTTCCATCCCTGGCACCACATGCCGCACTGGCTCCACCCCAGGCACACTGAACGGGCCACTGAGACCAGGCATTGTGGCGCATGCCTGTAATCCCAGAGCTGGGGAAGCTGAAAACAGGAGGATCACCTTGGATTGGGGTTTTGGCAGTGCTGGAGATGGAACTCTGGCTGTGCACATGCTCCATCTATGAGCTACATCCTAGCCCTGTCTCCTAAGGCTACCTGGCTGCCCCCAACCCAGGCACAGAGCCACCCAGAAATTCAGAATATACTGCGTCACAGTCTGGTATCCTAGTATAACATTAATTAGAAAACAGGATACCTCTGAGTCCCACACATCTTGGAAGCAGTGCTAGCTAGCACACAGCTCTCTGGGAAAACCACCTGGACTCCCCAACTCGTCCTCAGCTGCCCAACACCACAGCAAGTACACCCTACAGTCACTTACCTTCTTTACTGCATGAAAACAGTCAAGAAGTGTAATGTAGAAGCTACAGCTTCCATAGGCAGCATCTCTGAAATTCCAAGAATATTGAAACACATAACTCAGTTAATTTTCTGTGGTACACTGACCTCAAAACAGAGCTGACAAGAAATTAAAACCACACGTGCATTGGATTGTTCAGATGAGCTCTCTGGATTACTTCTGGCTTTGAAAAGTGGGCCTCCTCCTCCTATTTAACTAATCCATAGGATCCATCCCTGCTCTCTGAGAGCTACCTTTTGATTGTGTGTAACTGTGTAAGTGTGTCTAAATATGCACATGTTAGTATGTATCTCCGTCCAAGCAGAAAAAAAATAGAGAAATCAAGGTACTGTGAGATATTAGATGCATGGTCACCAAACATTTTGTTTCTATCATTATGCTAGGACTTTTAAGAATTTTTAACTTCTTTCTACGTAAGGCCACAGGAATGAAGGCATCCACTACCTCTTGTAGAAACACTGTGCTCTTGAGAAAGTCCTTTAGTTGGATGATAGATAACCCCACCCAAATACTGCATCAACACCCACAATAATCTCACTGCAAATCTTTCTATCAGGGAAAATTTTACACAGAAAAGAAAGAGACTCCTTGTCCCTACTTGCTTCTTTTTTTCAGCTATCCTGAGTTACTGCAAGATGAAATATTTTGGATTTAGACAACATTAAATAAATGTGATAATCATCATCCTAGGCATGCCCTCCCAGAGCAGCTCTCTTTGGGTGTGAGGGGGAACAAGCAGAGAGCAATCATCCTTAATTTTCCACTTTAGTTGGGTTTTCACACCCAGACATCTGACATGAAAAACTAAACTGCATGACAACTTTTAATTCTTGCAAAACTGTAAGGGTTGTAACTACCGATTATAGCAACTAATGTTGCTATAACTAACAATGAGGCAAGCAGCTTTAGATATTACTGACTGAAATGGTAAGAATTACTGATACACATTAGCCTTAAGAGGGCTCGAGAGCCAGGTGTGGTGGGCAAGTGACTTGAGCCATGTCCCCTTGATTAACAGCTACTGTTTCCACTTAAGCTACTGACAGCTCCCCTCCTGGCGCAAGGGTATGCTGACTCAGCCTTGCTGGCAATGTGGCCCACGTCTTGGGCAACCTGCTTCATGAATCAGATGACGAGCACCTTTCCTTATTCATCATGCTTATTTCCCAAACACTTCCAACTTCACACACCTACACCGCTTCTCCCACGCAAGCAATCAGCCTTCTGAGTACACAGAAGAGCCGCTTCAAATCTGAATTTCAGCCTTTGTAAGGGAAAACACTTTGCCACTAACATCCCTTAAAAGACTTGGAAAAATAGATGCGACTCCATGAAGGCGCACTGCTTGGAAACTACACAACCCTGTCCAATAGCAACTTTCCTTAGTCAAGCTTCTATTCACCTCTGCCCAAAGCTGCCCTGAAACATGACCCAAATAGCCACTGAAAGAACACATGACAAACCCTGTGTATGCACAGAGTAGCACGCGAGATAACCCATACACAAGGATAAACTACTCATGCCTGTCACACATGGGTGAACCTCATAGACATTAAGTCTTAAAAGTCACCTTGGGGCCGGGGAGATGGCTCAGTGGAATATGCGCTTCCCTGGCAAGTGCAAGGGCCTGAGTTCAATCCCTGGTTCAAAAAAAAAAAAAAAAAAAAACACCTTGGGCGCTCCAAGACACATGCTGAATGATTCCAAATATACGAAGTTCAAAGGCACACAAAACTAACTGACAGCAGTAGAAGGCACAGTCAGGGTTACTGACCACAGAGGAGGGGGTCTCCTGGGGTGATGGGGTACTCTGCATCCTGGTGTGTGGGATCTGCTAAAACACAGCAAACCTAACTGTGTTGTGCTCTTATGTCAACCTAGAGGAATGTTTAAATACTCCATAAATGTCAACTAGGACTATAAACCATAACAAGTACTTCAATATGCAGGACAGAATCTATCTCTTCAGAGAGATATTTTTGTCCGCATTTGTAGTTGATCAAACCAGACCAAGGTTCACATTTGTAAAGGATCACAGTGAGGACAGTGGCAGAGAGCTAGGGGTCAAATTCCCATCTGTCTCATGTGAGCAAACAAATTATTAGCAACCATGCAAAGTATCTCCAAGAAAATACACAGTCAAAATCAAAAGTAAAGACAGAAAACCCTGGTTTTCTAAAACAAGGAATATTATACCAGAGAATAGACACACACAAACTTGATAACAATGTTCCTAAAGTATCCAGAAAATGTTATACCTTTTGTGCTACATTTTCATTTAGATAGAAACATGTTCAATATAATTCAATAAGAAATCATTTATAAATACACACCCAAATTCAATGGCTAAAGAATTAAAATCAGTTGAATTAAGTCTAATTAAATATTGTTATTGAAAATTAAAGGATGAGTGAGATTCTTGCATGAATACTTATCAGCAAAATTTTGTTCTATTAATTTTTTACACTTGAAGAGGCAAGGATAAAAGAGATTTCTCTCAAAATATTATCAGACATTTATCAATTCTGATTGGCCTAGTTGTTAAGTTCTATAAAAGTCAAACATGCTAAAGTACCAAATATTAATATTTTAATATTAATATTAAATATTTTCATATTATCTTAGGCTGATACTTCTATAAAATACAACAAATATAAACCGCAGTGCAAATATTGTAATTGTGTCATAGCCACAGTAATGTAGTAATCGTACTTTTGTAAATAAAAGTGAAATGATAAAAAAATGGATTGGGGGAATTCCTTAAGCTACAAGCTCAAATTCTTTTATTATTTGATTACACAGAGCAAAAATTACTATAGTACTATACATGTCGCTAAACGCTAATATTCTATCTTCTATGTCATTAACAGACTGGCAACAAAAAGCTCACAGACTACACACTCTTGAGAAACACTGCTTTAGATAAATCTAGTATCTGCCATCAATGCCTGAAGAGATAGATTCAAATTTCACAAAGCTCAACAATTTTGTGAAGCTCAAAGGCAAACAAAACCAAGTGATGGCAGTAGAAGGCACAGTCTGGGTTACTGACCACAGACGAGGGGGTCTCCTGGGGTGATGGGGACTAAGGCCTGTTTTTTAGAGAGCTTTGGCCTGGCACTTCTGGGAGCAAAAATAACAAGCTTCTTGGGGCTGGCGACATAGCTCAGTGGTAGAGTGCTTATGTAGCACACACAAGGCTCTGGGTTCAAGTCCCAGCACCACCAAAAAGAAAAAGAAAAAAAAAAAAGCTTCTTAATGCCAAGTCTCACTAACTTTTAAAAACAGGGCCATTTATTATTATCAGCACCTATATTTAAATACACACATATTTTCCACATCAACCATGGTTCATGAATCCTCAACTGTGTAAAATGTATGAGTATGTTGCGACTCCAGGACCTTGTATAGGACACACTGTGGGAATTAGGGCATTAGGAAAGTTTATGGTTATAGTAAAGACACAAATTATAACTGTATGTCAAGGGAATACCAATATGTAGGGGCCAGGGAGCTAGCTCAGTGGCATAAGTGCCTGCCTGGCAAGCACAAGGTCCTGAGTTTGATCCCTCATACCACCACCCCCCCAAAAAAAAAAAAACACAGAGAGAGATGACCAATGTGACTGTGACCCAGACACCACAAATATTTCTCCTAAGGGAAACACAGGTGTCATACTTCGGGTGGAAAGGGTAAATGGCACACATAAGTTGGTCTCAACCTATCATCTCCCCATCTTCCCACACAGTTCAAACAACAGAATTTCTAAGATCACCAGAAAGAGAGAGTGTGAAGAGAGTGGGCGCAAATCAATTCTTTCCATTTGTTCCATCACTACGATGCAGACATAAACACAGTGTATGACTGACTGCTGCAGGCGGTCCCAGCAGGTCTCCTTTTTGTGGAATGAGTCCACAGTTATTTGAGAAGGAGACTCTGCTGATCATCAGGGAAACTTCCCGAAGGGTGGAGACTCATGTTATGCTTTCTAAAGGGAAAGCTGTATCTTTAAAATCTGACACTCAAGACATATGTAGCAATCCTGAAATGACTTATCTGTGCATGGAAGAACAGTAGTTACAAGAGTAAATAATCAACAAACTACACAATGAGCACCATATTTTGTGTGTTTACTGCCCATTCGGCATCACAGGAACGTGCTGATTCTATGACTATTTCAATGAAGAAGACGAGAAACTATCAGAATTTGATTTAGAGAATAAAACCCACACAATATGATTTTTCCCCCAAATACCTTCAAGATAAGCACATAATAAGCTTGGGACAAGGAAGTTCTGCATTTCTGGAAACACGGGACTGTCCACACCTTCATGACTCAACTGTCTGAATGGCTCTGTTGGAGTGGTTCGTCCTAGCAGCTCTCCCGCTACCTCTGTGGGTCGTGCTCCTAGAAAACAACTCCTGCTCACTGGGAAGCTTCCTGCTCAACTCTTTCGAAGCCAAATTCCTCAGCCGTACTTCCGCATTGGCAGCTCCAGGATTCTCTCACCTGTCTACAAAGCTTACTTTTCAGCAGTGACAGTGGTTCTCAACCAGGGGAGATGTGGTTCACCTGCTCCGTTCTGACCCCTTTCAGCACATCTGGCAACGTCCAGAGATAGTCTGCACTTTGAGCACTGGAGTAGGGGTGGGGATGTCACTGGCATCTAGCAAGCAGAGGGCAGAGATGCTGCTGAACTTCCTCTCATGTGCAAGGCAGCATCCACAACCAAACAGCCCTCGTGTCACCATCTAGAACTCTGGGGCTACAATATTACTTACATCCAACCTAAAGTGTCTGTCTTCTAAAAACAACTATACAGAAGGTTCTGGCAAAAGTCTGATTAATCTATCATATCATTCTTAATATTTACCTGAAAGGAATATAGGATGTATCTCCAAAGATTAATATTCCATATGCTTCTTCTGGAGTTCTCCCCAAATATATAACCTATATTTAAAAAGAGAAGAAAAAGGCAAGTTACACTGGCACTGTAAAATAAGCCTCATATAATCAGTGGAGCTGAGTTCTCTGCTTTCCCTACAATCCTGAGCCATCAGCAACTACCCAATTTAAGATAATTCTTCCTACACAAGTCTCTAGAATATTAAGTAACTGTGGGTTAGACTTGGAACACAAGTTTAATTCAAAGAATGTAAGAACAGTGTCATTTTTTCCTATGAGGGAAACCTAAATTCCTAGTGATGAACTTCTAAAAGCTGTAATTTTAAAATCTAGTTTCCAAATGACTACACCTATGCATGCCATGCTGACATAAATGGAAATAAATTTATAGATTGAAACTAAATGTATTTATATAACCATCGAAGAAATACTTGCTAGTAATCTATAATTTTCTTTTATATCTACTCACCTTGATTCATAAGTCCTTCCAAATAAAATTATTCTAAGTATGTCACTTAGGAAGAACTGCATTAAGTCATTTGTTAATGTAAATTCTCAGCTTAATAAACTCTACACCAATACACTTTCCTAATTTGTCATTGTGATCCTAGCAGGTTATAATCTAGACATTTCCTAAATTCTTTTGGCATATTTTCATGACAAGCTACATACATACCAAGTCCACTCAAATTCTAGAGAGCTGTTTAGAACCAGGAAACAACAAATAATGATGGAGAGAGATTTAACAGCCCCAAGAGCTGGTGTCCAAGACAGCCCCAAAGAATCCTATCTCCACTATTTTCACGCTCACTGGACCTTCCCACAGTAGACACTGCACAGTGAAAAAAAAGACTGCGGTAAGCACAGAGCCTGGCTCCTGAGGCCAGGTCATAAAGACGCATTCTCTCTCTCTTTTTTTTTTTTTTCCCAGATTTTTTTCAAATGAAAACCTAAATAAAATAGGTGAAATTTCCCTGACTATTCAGGTGAACGAACATACACACACACACACACACACACACACACACACACACCCCGCATCCTCCCACTCCGAGGTCACCTCTAGCCTCCCCCTACAATGGGAGGATGCTCATTCACACAGCCCAGATGCTAAGTACCAAGTCCTCCTGCCAGCATGCAGTACTGACCTGCCAGTGTGCACGAGCCACCTTAGAAGGAGACCTTGAGATAGAGTTCCAGGAGAGAGCGAGAATCAGACCCAGGCCCACTCAAAGGAAGCTACTCCCAGACATGAAACCAAGGTGTCTCGGTTACTTTTTACTCATTGATGGGACAAAATGCCCAACACCCAAAATTAAGGAAAGAAAGGTATAGTTAGCTCCCAGCTTGTGGTTTCAGGCTATCCTCTATATTCCACTGGCTCCCAGGCAGAGTGGCACAGGGCAGAGCACGGCAGCAGAAAACAGCTAAGAGCAAAGGGAAGGGCAGCAGCTGCGGCTTCTAACCAGCCTCTTATGCTTATGTTACAAACCAGCTACCGTGGGCTGGGGGTGTAGAACTCACACAAGGTCCATGCCCTCCTCTTGCACAGGAGGAGGATGTTTACAACCTAAGAACCCTGGCTCTCTGCTCAGTCACTTAATTAAACTTCTCAAATTGACACAAAAATATCAACCAGTACACCAGGCAAACTGAGAGAATGCTGTTACTGCAAGAATAGGGTAAGTGGCACATGTGGCTGCAGCACGGGTGGCAGCTAGTGCAGAGGCAGCCTGGAATGCACCAGTGAGCCCTTTGTTCATCTTTCTGGAGGATTAAGAAATCTCTCTGAGGGAACAAATAGCAATCTTCTGGAAAGAATGAAATACTGTGGTAGAATATGTACTCAAGAAGTCGGTATTTTTCAAAGTCATGATACAAAGCTTTTCTTTTTCCTCCTGAATAAAACCACAGCCACCCAGGCATGGTAGAACATGCAATTACTTGTACTGAGTAGTTCAGAGCTTTCTAGGCAGTCAGTGAGACCCCATTTCTCCTTTTACAAAAAAAAAAGAAAAAAAGAAAGAAAGAAATAAAGAAACAAAGAAAGACTACTTCACAGGCTAGCTTTGAATTCACTATG